AGCCCCGCGGACCCCCTCGCTCCGAGCGCTCCTTCCCCTTCCTGTGCCTTTGTGGTGCCTTCGGGCTCGGCCGGTGACAGCCCCCGAGCGGGGGGCTGAGGGATTCCTGAGCGCTTCCCAGGCGCGGTGCTGGAGCTGCAGCATCCCTGGGAATGCGGGGAGGAACTAACGGAACGGTGCTGGGTGAAGCAGGATGCGGGCTCTAACCAAAGCTGGAGCCGGAGGGCTGCTTTGTTCTTAGCTTGCTTCTCGCCTTCCCCGCAGTCCCGGTCCTTGGGACACTGGGATGTTGTTTGAGGCTCGCTGTCCTGCAGCAGACGCGGTTTCTGAGCTCTTTTCCTGCTTTCCTAGCGTCCGTCGGCCTCACTGAGGAGCAGAAGGAATTCCAGAGCCTTGCCCTAGATTTTGCTGCCAAAGAGATGGCTCCTCACATGGCTGAGTGGGATGCGAAGGTACCGCAGCCCCGGCGGGCTTGTAGCGCTCTGCGTTCTTAGGACACGATGGTTCTTGGGTCTCCTTCGAGGGGTGGTCCCGCAGTAGCTCCTCGGTGCTGTCACACCGTCTGTAGAGCTTTGCTTTGAAGCTGCTGCTGGAGCTGGGGTGGGAATCCATCAGAAGGACCTTGAAGCTTCCCTGCAGGGCTGTTTAATCACCCGAGTCCTGGATTTACTCCTGGAGATGGTGTGTATCTGCCTCGGTACACACACACCCCGTTCTTTAAGCAGTTAACTTCACCTCTGGAGGAGTTTGGGACTGGGCTTGGTGGACCAAAAGGGTTTGACTGCTGAGGTGGAACTCATCGTGGTTGTTGCACTCTCTCTGCCTATCCCGACAGGAGATTTTCCCTGTGGACACAATGCGGAAGGCAGCCCAGCTAGGATTTGGTGGGGTCTACGTGAAACCAGACGTCGGTGGCTCTGGATTGTCACGACTTGATACCTCCATAATCTTTGAAGCTCTGTCAACGGGATGTACCAGCACCACTGCTTATATGAGCATCCACAAGTGAGTTGTTCCGTGGGCTCCGGATCCAGCTGGAAGCAGCTCTCTTGGTGCTGCTTTTTAGTTCAAGTTGGGACTCTGAGCAGACCCGACCCCGTGGGGATCTCTTAATGGCTGTAAACAAACAGGCTCCAAAAGGAGATGCCACCAAGAAGTAATTTTAGCTTTGGGGCACACAAGATAGGATTAAGTTCTGGATTTCATTCCCCTTTCTATAGATAGTAACGTGCCTGGAAAAAGCCTTTGTGCTGTGGGTGTATGGTGGCAGAGCCACCGGCTGATCCCTGCCCTGCTCGTCCAGCGCAGGCTCACTTGGCACAGGAGGATGGAGCAGTGACACCTCCTTCTTGAGGTGAAGCAGTTTGTCCCCAAGCCTTGGGGCTTCTGGCTGGACCCCATGGAGCTCTGCTGTTGCGTTCAGCCAGGGATGCTCTGTTACGACCCCGCCGGGCTGTGCTGGCCTCCTGTAACGCTTCTCCTTCTCTCCTGCTCCAGCATGTGTGTCTGGATGATCGACACCTTTGGCACCGAGGAGCAGAGACGCAGGTTCTGCCCGTCGCTCTGCAGCATGGAGCAGTTTGCTTCTTACTGCCTGACGGAGCCAGGTGAGCATCCTCCCCCAGGGCATCGTCTCCTTCCCCTGCTCCTCACGTAGCCGAACCAGACGTGAGCATTCCAAGCAGCGGGAATGTTTCTTCTCACGTTTATTGGGGTGGTCAGCAGGACGTTGGGAAGGGGCAGGTGATGATTGCTGAGATGGTGGTGGTGGTGGTTCAGTCCCTGGGGGGACTTTCCAGGCTCTGCACTTGCTGCTTCACTGGCTGCTTCCTCACCTCTTGAGCAGGAAGTGGGAGCGATGCAGCTTCCCTGCTGACCTCGGCTCGGAGGAAAGGGGACACCTACATCCTGAATGGCTCCAAGGTACCTATTTGCTCCTCGTGACGCTGCTGGATGGCAATGCATGCACAAGGGGGGCTGGGTCTCACCATCCTTTCCATTTCCTACCATCTCCTCATCTCTCTCCCAAGGGACGTGCTCTGCAGAGCCTTCACCAGAGCTGGTCCCTAAACACCTTCTGGCCGTGGGGTCTTTGTGGCCCAGCTGCTGCCCAGGCTCAGGCTTAGCACACAAGAGCCACCCCTTTTCTTCTTGTGCCCTTCTGCAGGCCTTCATCAGCGGAGCAGGGGACACGGATGTCTACGTGGTGATGTGCCGCACGGGAGGCCCAGGCCCCAAGGGCATCTCCTGCCTGGTGCTGGAGAAGGGAACGCCTGGGCTCAGCTTTGGGAAGAAGGAGAAGAAGGTCAGAGGCTTGGGGTTTGCTTCCTGTGTGCTTGAGGGAGATTAGGGATCTCCTCTGGGATGGGACCAAAGTCCCACCTGGCATGTTCTTCCCAAGTCAAGCCCAGCTTAGGTGCAGTTTGCCCTTTGGCAACGGAAGGGTTTCCATCTCAGGAACATCAGGGATCGTTGGATCTGTGCCTCTGCTCAAATACAGCATTCCAGTTCCCAACTCTGAGGCCAAACCCCGTAGCCTGAGGGTGCTCTGCAGCACCGTGACAATGAGACCGAGAGGCTGAGAGCAGTTCTGTGCTGGGAGCTGGGGGTGTGCTGCTCCCCGGGCAGGCTGGAGACACTCTGCTCTTTCCCAGGTGGGCTGGAATTCCCAGCCAACTCGGGCTGTGATCTTTGAGGACTGCGTTGTTCCTGTCGGCAACCGGCTGGGAGCTGAAGGGCAGGGCTTCAGCATCGCCATGAAGGGCCTCAATGGGGGCAGGATAAACATCGGTAAGCAAGAGGAGGAGGAGGAGGATCATCTCGTTGCCCATCTGGGCTTGCTTCCCGTTCACTCTGTGTCCCTGCCTTCTCCCACCAGCTTCCTGTTCGTTAGGAGCTGCTCACGCCTCTGTCCTCCTGGCTCGGGAGCATCTCACCGTCCGCAAGCAGTTTGGGGAACCCCTGGCAAACAACCAGGTAACCTCCGCTCCCGGGGCTGGGAGGGGACGTGGGCCAGGCCCCCGTGGAGACGCTGACCCGGCTTCCCC